GTGTGTGCGACTTCTTCAAACACTGTCTAAGTGTTCATCTCCTCACTGATAGCTGTGTATAAGTCCCCAATGCAAACAATTGCTGTCAGTTATAGATTGAAGAAGTGCGTCTTTTTGATAATCGAAATTAAAATGGCGTCTGATTGAAATTAAAATGGCTGCTGATACACGGAGCAGAAAGACTCTCATGCCTCGCACTTCCCTCCTTCCAGTTCGCTCACCTCCACTCCTCCGATCTTCCGGCTGCAGCAATCCTATCCGTCCATTCAAGCAGTATCCGCAGTTGAATCTGGGGCAACTGCTATTTGCATCGCAAATGCATCCCACTCATTATGCATTCATTGCAAAAGGGCATCCCACGTCGTCAGTGGCTAGGAAATCTATCGTACTCGCTAATTAGCCTATTTTATGTCTCCGGCGGAAAATGGTGGCTGGGCGGATAACAATGCTCTCGACGAGGAATGCGAATACAATTGTATAGAGCCGTTCGCTGGCGAGAGCTCTTTGGTGATGTTAGCTGTCAGGTTTTCTTTTTCATTCAGATTCATGAATTTTGTGTGATGCAGGCCGGTATCGCAGTTGATGCACCGGGAATGCCGGAAGGTGCTCGAGAAGCTGGCCAGCGTTGCTCAGCGTGCTTGTTCACTGACACGGGCGAAAATACAGCCGGACAAGACAAAAAGCAAAAGATGCGTGCCCGATTTCTCGGATATTGCTCACCTGGCAATTTCATTCCAGGGCATTTGTCTTCCTGGTGAGCAGATGAATCTCGTGAAGGTTTGTCATGCCCAGTACAACAATGGAATGGTGCTTAAACAGTGCAGTAGCAGGCAACATTTTTAGGTTGGAACTTAGGTGACACTGAAAAGAAGGGGTAAACTGGAAGGCACAGATTCGAGGAGATTGCTGTTTGGTTTGAGAAGCGTGAAAAACTAAAAATTCTGCTTAACTTTTTCTAGTACTGCATGTGCGTGGATGCTGCTGTGCAATCGAACATCACTCAAATGCACTCGTCTTCAGAAACACTTGTGCTTCCACGCTATACTTTATCTGGCTAATTAAAAAAAAAGAAGCAGCTGTGAGGAATGCGGCGATATTATACTGTTATGAAAACCAACTTCCTGTGTTAAATATAAAGGCGGTGGCCATTTACTGGAGTTATAGAGGTCAGGTTCATGTGACATGGATGGCGTGAAGTAGCATCCTAGTAACATCGCTGACATGGAATGCATATATCTTACCTAGTAGTTTAAAATAGTGTGAAACATTGCATCGTTCACTACCCAGAATTTATGAAGTTTTTAAAATAAAACAAAAATGAGACTGAATTTTCCCGCACAATTTAAGTGCGACAGCTAGTTCTGATTCAGGAGGCACTGGAGCGCTGGTCATGCAAGACGCACTCGACACCGGGCGAAATGGCGCATTTGTACATCAGGGACAGATATCCGAACATGCGCTTGCTATTCGACAAATACAGCCAGTTGACCAGCATATACCGGGACACCGTTACAAATATCATTGAAATGGTTGTCGAATCTGCTGATTCACTCGGTACTCCGTCGCCTGTTTCATTTTCAGAAATTTCTTCATCAGTTCATCGCTCTTCCTTAAACAGCCAAGAACCACAGACGGGGAAGCGGACGGTCGTTCAAGAAACTTGCAAGCCAAAAGTAGCAACAGCTGGGCAGTGTCGAGGTACCATGGGATGCAAACCATGGCGGCCTCAAAAATTTCGAACGGAATCGTGCCGCATTTTTTTCTTTGACTCCACACCAGAAAAATATGCTTTTTGTTCAAAAAAATGAAGAAATGCACGGAGTAAATCGTAGCTTGACAAGCAGGTTCTCCATTAGATCCAGGCAGCTGGTAACGAAAAGCTATGCGAGAAAGACCGCAAATCAATCCTTTTCTTGCCAAAAAAGCTTGCAGATGATTCG